TCCTTCCTTCCTTCCTTCCTTCCTTCCTTCCTTCCTTCCTTCCTTCCTTTTACAAAGTGGTTTATTATTATACCGTACACAATTTTGGTAATTTTTAAAAATTTCAATTTTTATTATTATTCCTCTTGTCATTACTATTATTAATCCATGTTTAGGGCTGTTGATATTTGTGAAACAACTCTGGGCAAGTAATAACTGACAAAAACACACACAAAGTAGCATCTAATACAAAAATGATCTTGGTCTGCATTCAGTTTTCTTAGGGATTGTTCAAAAGTTCATATTAAAGGGGAAAATGCATAAAACTTTCCCCAAACTTAGATGTGTGGCTGTTTTCATGTTTTCTACCATGCCCCTTTCAAATGTTCTCAGTGCTTATTCATCATTGAATCAATTTCCTGCAAGTCTTTATTTTTATTACTCTAACTTAAATGTTGCTTTCACTTTTCCTAAAACTGAAAAGTTATAAAGTTAAGTCAACACAGTAGGGAGTATGCGAGAAAACTGGAAAACAAATGCATTGGTGAGTTTTTTTATCACAATCAATATGTAAATCAAGTCACAATTTTTCCCTTAAAAGAGCCAGTCGGTTTTTCTTTTCAGGCTACACCCACCAAGACAAAGTTTGTGCACTTTGCTGAATCCGATCAACTCCCCCCATTCATTACACAGAGCAAAAATGCTTCTGTGGCTAAACTTGGTGTCCTTACTGGCAGTCCTCCATGGTAATTATTTTCTCCCTATTCAGCTTCCTTCCATTTTAATTCTTGTATACAGGACAGATTACTGATACACCTTTATTTTTAGGTGTCCAGTCTCAAGTCCAGTTGGTGGAGTCTGGAGGGGATGTGAGAAGACCTGGGGAATCCCTCCGTCTCTCCTGCCAAGCCTCTGGATTCACCTTCAGTAGCTACTGGATGCACTGGGTCAGACAGGCTCCAGGGAAAGGCCTGGAATGGGTGGCAGCCATAAGTACAGGCTCATCTCCTTCCACATACTACTCAGACAAAGTCAAGGGCCGCTTCACCATCTCCAGGGACAATGCCAAAAGCCAGCTGTATCTGCAAATGAACAGCCTCAAACCAGAAGACACAGCAGTCTATTACTGTGCAAGAGACACAGTGAGAGGAAGTGAATCTGAAGCAAAACAAAAACCTTCAGAGCAGCTCTTCATCTTGATTCAGCGCCAGATCCTGGATTGTCTAATCAGGGTTCACCACCCTATAGTGAGATTTTTTGGATTCTTTTATCTTGGGTATCCTAGAAGAAAATATCCTGGAAGACCATGAACATTGAGGAAACATTGGCTTCAAAATTCCAGTTGTCCCTTCCCCATTTCTAAAGTGATTTGTCAGCCTCAAGCCAGAGGACACAGCAGTGAGACACAGTGAGAGGAAGAGAACCTGATGCCAGACAAAAACCTTCAGAACAACTGTTCAACTTGCTTCAGCCCGAGATTATGGATTGGCTAATTAGTATTCAGGAGGCTACAGTCCTCCTGGGGAAACAGAAAAGGTTTATTTTAAAAAACAATGCGTATCATTTCTGTTTTTGTCTTCAGAAAAATTGTCCAGGTAGTTAAAATCTTTGATGAAATGAAAAAAATATATAAAAAATTAAATATATAAATGGATGTTTTGCCAGATTTTAGTGAACGTGTAAAAAAAAGCTAAAAGAAAGAGATGTTAGATATGTACACTAATCCTGAAGATTTTGAAGGTAACGTTACAATTGAAAGCAGAAAGTTTTCTCTTCGAACTAATAGACGAGCAATGAAAAAAAGAACTCATAAAATTTTTCTTTTCTAAATGATAACTGCTGGAAACTATTATATCCTCAAAAATGGAAAGTCCTGATACTAGCCATCATGGGGTGATAGAAGGTGAAGATAATGGAATCTGCAGAGAAGGCTAAATTAATATTTTGGTTGTTTATAAAGTTTGCAAGAAAGAGAAAAGTTTTCAGTCGTGGTTTCTCATTTTCATGATTTAGAAAAAATTGATACAAATATAAAAACCTTAGCTTTAGAATAGAATTAACATTATAAATGTACACATTATTTGCTGCTGAAGAAATACCAACGTTCTTTTTTTCTGTTTCTTTTCAGTCTCATTCTGAATGTTCAGCTTCCCTTGCTCCCTCCCTCCCTCCCTCCCTTCCATCCATCTGTCCTTCCTTCCTTCCTCCCTCCCTCCCTCCCTTCCATCCATCTGTCCTTCCTTCCTTCCTTCCTTCCTTCCTTCCTTCCTTCCTTCCTTCCTT